GGGCACTCTCCTGAAATCTAAGTTTCCAGGTGCCAGCTAAGGGCCACCTTTGCAAGCAGACCTTTCTAAGGATCTTAGTCTTAGAAAGCCCTATGGTGTTTTCTTCTCTGCATACTCTTCCTGAATCTTTGTCCTGTTGCTTTTTTTTTTTTAAGATTTTTATTGGGGAATTGGGGGATGGGAACAGCGCTGGGGAATTGGGGGAAGGGGAACAGACAAGTTGCTGTCCTTTCATTCTTCAGTCTAGTTGTGGAGGATGTTGCTTCACTGGCCCAAGTTGGCACCATCATTGCGCTCTTCCCAGGTGAGGCAGATCAGTTGACGGCTTCTGGATGGCCACTCACGGTGGCTGCTGGCCGCTCACGCTGGCTGCTGGCTACATATGGTAGCCTATGGCAACCCACTGCAGCAGGGGCTGCAGCCTACGCCTTTGCCAGCGACTCATGGCAGCCCAGCTCCAGGTCGAGCTGTTGTTCAGCATCTTAGCTGTAGAGGGCAGTGTCACTGGCCCTCATATGTGGGATCTGAACTGGGGCCCTCTGGCGTCCCAAGCCAGCTCTTAACCAACGCACCACTCGGCCGGCCCTATCCTGTTGCTTTTGACCACCCACTTCTGCTTCTGCCACTCAAGGGGAAACACAACTTGAAACCATATGACATCATAATATATTCAAATTGTCTTGGGACAGGCTTCCTGGACAAGATGATAGGTGTTCTAGTTCATAAAACCTTGTGACCTGGGAGCTAGCTGATCTGGTTCAGGCATTGTCAGAAGCAGTAGAAGTCTCAGAGAGTAAACTTGTTGATGCTTCGGTGATCCTCATAGAAGATGAGCTCGCTATTTGGTTTACAGAGATCAGCCAAAGAGCCTGGTAAGCGCTGCTATAATTTGTCCTTAAAGTGCTGGCCAAGAGCCTTAGCCACAGCACCAATAATACACGACTAGGGCAACGAAATGATGTTCATGATGAATTGTACAGCCAAATACGTGATAGCAGTTTCTCCATAGCTCTGGAAATGTCTGTGTATGCCATTACTTGTCTGGGATACAGGCTTAACAGTGGCAGTCAGGAGATGGTTGAATGTTGGGTCTGAATCTTATAGAAAGCAAAAATTTAGGGCAATGGTTTTCAACCTGATGGTACATTAAAATCACCTGGGGAATTTTTGCCTTTGCTATTTTAAAACAAAAACCAGTGCCTGTGTCCCATCCCCAGTGATTATGGTTTAGTTGGAATGGGGTGTGGCTCAGGCATCAGTATTGTTTTAAAAGTTCCTTGTAACATTTCAACGTGCAGCTAGGCTTGGAGACGACTGATCTTGAACAAATGTACAGTTAGTGAGCAGTTAACAGCTTCTTGAGAAGTGTCGCCATGTGCAGTTTAATGGGAGCCATTTCATGGGTTTCAGATCCCTGGGCAAGTAAGGGTCTTCCGCACTGTCATTATACCCAGATGCCAGACCAAAGCTTGACAGCCTGGCCCTATTGCTGCTTCACTTGTAGTATGAAATTGGCAACTGTGTGGTATAGCTAGAACACTTCTTCCTGCAGCTTTGTGCCAGTGTTTGTCTTAAAAGAGGACCAGGCAGGTCTCTCGTCAGTGAGGCTGTTCCATCATGGACTGAGGCCTGTGGGCCAAGTCCTGTCGCAGCACACTCCCAAGAGTAGCTGCTAGTGGTTGAAGGCGCCTTTCTCAGCAGGCCAAGCACCTTATGAAACTGGCAGGAGAGAGCCAAGAAGAAAATGGCTTATCCATTTCTTAGAAAGATTGGAATGATATGAAAGTACCAGATGTGTTCACCATAATACCCATTGGGAAAACAGCCACAGGGACGGAAGGAAACAAAATTGCATCTTGTGGTCCCAAGAGCCATGTGCCTGAGGAGGGTCTTGCTGCATAAAGATAAAGTGGCTTTCAAGACATTTGAGCTAATTACTGAGAACATTCAAGGCAAAAACTGCCTGGCCAACTTCATTGGAATGGATCTTATCTGTAAGCAAATGTGCTCCATGGTAAAAAAAAAATGGCAGACCATGATTGAAGCTCATGTTGACTCCAAGACTATGGATGGTTGTTTGCTTCATCTGTTCCATGTAGGTATATGTTCCCTATTGCTGCTGTAACAAATCACCACAAACTGAGTAGTGGAAAACAACACCAGTTTATTTTCTTATAGTTCTGGAGGCCAGAAGTCTGAAATAGGTCTTATTTGGTAAAACCAGGGTGTTGGCAGCGCTGATTCCTTCTGGGGACCCTAAGGGGAGACTCCATTTCCTTGCATCGTCCAGCTTCTAGGCTTGATGTTCTTTGGCATTTGGCACCTTCCTTGCATCGCTCAGACCTCTTCTAACAGCATCAATGGAAGTGATTATGTTGGCCCCACCCAGATATTCCAAGATAATTTCCTTATCTCAAGTTCTTTTTTTATAGCCATACCTCATTTTATTGTGCTTCACTTTACTGTGCTTTTACAGATGTTGGTGTTTTGGGTTTAAAAAAATTTTTTTTATTGGGGAACAGTGTGTTTTTCCAGGACCCATTAGCTCCAAGTCAAATAGTTGTTTCAATCTAGTTGTCCAGGGCGCAGCTCAGTGGCCCATGTGGGGATCCGGCCACCCTGGTGCTATAAGCACTGCGCTCTAACCAACTGAACTAACTAGCTGCCCCATTGTTTGTGTTTAAAGGAAGACCCTCCATCAACAAAAACATTATGACTCGCTTTATCGCAGTGGTTGGGAACCAGCCCGCACTAGCTCTGAGGTCTGTCTGTAACTGAGCTGGCTTTAAATTGCCTTTAAAGAAAGCAATTGGATGTTTGGCTGAGGGTAAGTCCTGCAACTGTCAAGAGCACCTTGTCTTCAGCACAGTTCAGCGACTCTCCTGTTTTAGACAAAGATAAGCTTTGTTCTTGTTCCCTTTGAGGAGTGATATGTCCACTGAGACGAGAGGCCAAACTCCATTTTTCACAGGATCGTTTTACTTTGAGCTTCATTTTCTTCTTGTCAGGGTCATGCACAAAAGCATGCCTAGTGAGACTTGGCTTCATTGCAAACGTTTCGGCACAGCCAGCATGTTCACACACACATGGGCTCCTTTCCTCGTGAAAAGATAGAAGGTGGCTCTGGAGAGTAAACGCAGTCGTGTAGGTTCTGCCACAGCCTTTCTTGGACACGGACACACATCCCTTTCTGGGCCGTGAGTTTTCATATGTTGCTTCAGATAATCTTTGCGTTTAAATGTTTTCTGTTGTACTGCACATATGATTTCCTCTTTATGGATTTCTCTCACATATTTCAGAAGCTCTGTCCATGTTTTTGCCACAAAGGAACACCCTTTTTGACATATATAGCCCTCAGGGACCTTGCCATGCTGTTTCAGCCTGCTGGGTGAAGCAGTGTTGTCTACGGCCTTCGTGGGTGCACTTGAATACTGACTGGTTCATTGGTACGCTGGCACGAACGAATTTTCAGCGGCTGATGTTTCTTAAAGGTCATCTTACAACCCTCAAAACTGCACATATATTGTTTTTGCTGAGTTTCATGTTGGCGTTCAAAATGTTTGATTTTACGTTGAATTTTTGCTCAGAGCCAGTAGCTTGTGGAGAGCTTTTCTCCAGTGTGAATCAAGGCATGGTGGCTCGGGTGGTAGTCCCTGACACAGGCTTTGACACATCCGTCATGGTCACACATCGTCTCTGTCCCGTGTGCTTTGCACAGGTGTGCATGTAGCTTCCAAGCCTTGTAATCAGCGCTGCAGTTGGAGCAGGAGTGGATGAACCTCCCAGGGAGCGTGTGGTGGTGGTGGGTGGGGCTCGTGATGGAGAGGGAACACCCGGCCTTGGGGAGTGGCCAGTGTTTCCAGGGCATCTGGGGCCAGGCGCTCAGCAGCCCACCACCGGCCGTGATTCCAGGCAGAACCTACACCCGACTCCAAAGCAGCACACTTTTGGGGACTGCCCATCTCAGTTTCTTTTAATTACATCTGCTACATTTCTTTTGCCACATATGGTAAGGTACCCTACCCACAGGTTCCTGGGGTAAGGATGTGGGTGTCTTTGGGGATGATCCCATGCAGCCTTGGGAAAAGTATAAAAGGGGTTGTCAACCTATTTATCTTTTCCATGATAGGTTTCTTCGAAAAGGAAAAGTGCTGAAGGAGGGCAATTTTGAATTGGGAAAACTGATGAAGCTTCAGGCTGCCATGCATCTGGAAAAACAGGCGCCGGAGTGGAGTGAATTCAGGGCCATGAGCCCCTCTCCAAAAATCGATTTCAAGGTTAGAGCGTGTAAATAGTAACAAATGAATCTTAGTGGGGAAAAAAATAGTTTAGAAGGATATCGGTCACCTATGTAATCTTGAAGCACTCAAGATTCACTAATTTGGGAGGACTTCTTAAATCTTTCCCACTCGTTAGCACTTTGGCTGTTTCGGCAGTGACTCTGGGCAGCACTGGAACATGAGTGGTCTAGGTGGGGAACCCAGAAGCCAACCGTGGGATAAGGCTTCAAATATAAGGAGGTGATTCCCGAAGGAAAGAACCCCTGACAGGTGTGGCGGAAGTGGCAGGGAAGGGAGGCGACCAATAGACAATGTTACCAAGTCAGATACAGCTGCAGGTGACTGCTGGGGACACTGGGTGCCAGCGTAAAACAAACACCTGAGACGCATTCCTCAGAGGTTGTCAGGTTGCTGGGCATTTTAGCCACCTCCTCCCCATCAGTTGTGGGTTGAGGGCTGCTCCCAGGGGCCATCATCCTTTGGCGTTTTCAGTCTATGCAGCAAGAGGCAAGAGAAAGCCCTCAGGCTACAAAATGCAGCTCTGGCAGTTCAAAGTGATGGTCTTGAAAAGTGGTAAAGGCCGTGTGTGTGTGTGTGTGTGTGTGTAGAGCAGTAACCCGTACATAACTAGCCTAACCAGTGGAATGGCTTCCAATGGGGCTATATTTTCCTGTGCATGATGGTTATTTTCCCACGGTTAAAATAGTCAAAAGAACAGGACCAAGCCAGGTGCAACTTTAATGCTTCTGCAGTTATATTTTAGAACAGAACAGGATGATGGATAGATGCCAAATTTCATGGCTTCTGTGTTTCAGAACATTCAAACTGAAGTCTGCCTTTTGAATTATTTCATAAAAACGACACATGTTTACATGATATGGAATGAAACAATGAGATCTTAAAAGATAATGACAAGTAACACAAAGAGCAGAGGCCTAATAAGCATAAATTTTCACTTTGTGGACTTCCTTGTCCTCACATTCCCTCTGTTTGTTGTAGTAATAGAAAGTATTGTCCCTTCTCTGAAGTTTCTTCACGTATCCTGTCTCTGGCCAACGATCTACCTGCACATCAACAGCCAGAACACAAATATTGTCATGCTGGCCTTATGTTATATAACATTCTGCTATCAAATAGTTAACAGTATAACTCACATCAGAAAGTTAAAGTATAACATTAAAAACACTCGAGCTTTTCGAGAGTGTGACACACACCCAAAACACAAGTTGTTACATCCTTTTACGGCAAAACACCTAAGTCGGTGCTTCTCTCTAAATTCCAATTTCTAGATTTAAATTTGTACTCAGTGGCCAAGATAGAGAAAATGTTCAAAATACTTCATTCTCCTATGTTTACAAATGATTTCAAACATCACTACTTCCAAACTTCTAAAAGTAATACCCCAGGAGGAAATTAGGGCTAAGCCCAGACTCCATCCTGAAAGCACCTAGAGTTGACTGTTGATGGCGTGACAGTGATGACAGGAAGCAGCTAAACTCAAGAGGGCTAAAGGTCCATATGCATTTCCCCATGTCCATATTTCAAGTTCATTGTGCAACTCAATTTTTAGTAGAAATTTGAGGTCATGAGTATAGTCCTCAGCAACCTTTTCTCAACCTCCTCCCATGATTCTTTCTCATGTGTCATATCGGTTTGCTTACTTTCTCGGTTGGCCTGATTGAGTTTGGACAGCTTTCTCCCCTTCCTCTCCAGGTTCATGCTATGCCTTCCTAATCAGGTCAGTGCGTTTCTGTTATTGGATATGCTTCTTCTGGATTTTGTGAGATGTACTCTCTCATTGTCAAAAATATAATATTCAGGTTTCAAAGTCTAAAAAACCAAATCTATTCTTCAGTGTCATCTCTACAGGCAGCTCTTCACTCCTCACATTCCCTACTTATAAAGCACAACTTTCTCTTTTAATTTTTATTAAATTTATTGGGGTGACAATGGTTAGTAAAATTGTATATGTTTCAAGTGTATATTTCTACAATACATCATCTATGTATTGCATTGTGTGTTCACCATCCATCACCATATATTTGATCCCCTTATCCCTCTTTGACCCCGCCCCTTCCCCCTTAGCCTCTGGTAACCACTAAACTGTTGCCTGTGTCTATGAGTTTGTGTTTGTCTTGTTCACTTATTGCTTTCAGTTTTATATTCCACATATGAATGAAGTCTATGGTTCTCAACTTTTTCTATCTGACTTACTTCACTTAGCATGATAATCTCAAGATCCATCCATGTTGTCGCAAATAGCAGTATTTCATCTTTTCTTATGGTCGAGTAATATTCCATTGTGTATATATACCACATTTTCTTTATCCAATCATCTATAGAAGGACACTTTGGTTGTTTCCATGTCTTGGCCACCATAAATAATGCTGCAATCAACATAGGGGTACATATATCTTCACAGATAAATGTTTTCAGATTTTTTGGTGGATACCCAAGAGAAGGATTTCTGGCTCTTGCTGGGTCACATGGTAGCTCTATTCTTAATTTTTTTCGAGGAACCTCATACTGTTTTCCATAGTGGCTGTACCAATTTACATTCCCACCAGCAGTGTATGAGGGTTCCTTTTTCTCCACAGCCTCTCCAATAGTTATGATTTGTCTTGTTGATAATAGCCATTCTAACAGGTGTGAGATAGTATCTCATGGTGGTTTTGATTTACATTTCCCTAATAGCTAGTGAAATTCGACATTTTTTCATATATCTGTTGGCCATTTATCTTCTTGGGAGAAGTGTCTGTTCAGGTCTTCTGCCCATTTTTTAATTGGATTGTTTATTTTGTTGTTGTTGAGTTGTATGAATTCTGTATACATTTTGGATATTAGCTCCTTATTGGAGGTGTTGTTTGCAAATATCTTCTCCCATTTGATTATCTACCTCTTTGTTTTGTTGATGGTTTCTTTTGCTATGCAGCTTTTTAGTCTGATATAGTCCCATTCATTTATTTTAGCCTTTACTTCCCTTGCCTTTGAGGTCAAATTCATAAAATCCTCTTTGAATCCAAGGTCTATAAATTTACTACCTATGCTTTCTTCTATGCAGTTTATTGTTTCAGGTCTTATGTTTAGGCCTTTGATCCATTATGAGTTAATTTTAAACCACAACTTTCAATTGGAATATCAATACAAAGGAATACATGTCCTTGATTTCTAAACAGTGTGTTTTCATTTTCTTCTGTTGTCTCATTTATTTAGGAATTAGCAAAAATAGGTGGCAGCATATCTGATAAACCTTGGCAGGCTCTATGACATGTACAATATTTTAAAAAGTCATGTTTTCTATCACTTAGGTCAAGCCCACCTTTCGTAGCTTCCATTGCCCTCAGCAGAGAAAGGAAGGTGTTCTCAAGACACCATTATAGTTCTCTTCCTCTTAGGGCCAGTAGCAGTTTCCTTTTTTTTTACTAGGGTCTTAAACACCATCTCATGCAGTAAAGAAACAGTACATATAACTGCTGCTTCTTCAAAATATGGGATAAAGAGGTTTCAAACAGCTATACTTGTTCTGTGCTCATCAACCTCTAGATGTTTTTCTTTTTATACTTCTTTACTGTTTCATGTTTTTTACTCCTTGGCTTTTTACTTGATCACTCCCCTTCAATCTAGGAAACCTTCACTCCTGAGAATATGGTGGACCAGAGTGATATGGTCCTCAAGTCCAACTCTCCTTAGGCAGGGAGAGCAGTAAACGCTGACACTGCCCACAACAGTGGCAGGACAGGACAAAAAACTTCACTCACACCCTTCAGGCCATGGCCCACTGATACGTGATGTTCAAGGCAAGCCTTCAGTGACCACCCCATCTACCCTTCAAGGCCCACTGCACATGCCTCTGGGGTGAATGGCATGGTTACAAAAGGAAGCCATATTTACCTTCCTCTGAATTCCTGTGCTTCTTTTTGTTTTAAAGATTTTTATTGGGGAGCTGGGGGATGGGAACAGCGCTGGGGAATTGGGGGAAGGGGAACAGAAAAGTTGTTGTCCTTTTGTTCTTCAGTCTAGTTGTGGAGAACGTTGCTTCACTGGCCCAAGTTGACACCATCATTGCGTTCTTCCCAGGTGAGGCAAATCAGTTGCTGGCTTCCGGACGGCCGCTCACTGCGGCTGCTGGCCACTCACGCTGGCTGCTGGCTACACACGGCAGCCCGTGGCAACCCACTGCAGCAGGGGCTACAGCCTACGCTGTTGCCAGCAACTTATGGCAGCCCAGCTCTAGGTTGAGCTGTTGTTCAGCATCTTAGCTGTAGAGGCCAGTGTTACTGGCCCTCATATGTGGGATCCGAACCGGAGCCCTCTGGCATCCCAAGCCAGTTCTTAACCAATGCGCCACTCAGCCGGCCCACTGTGCTCTTTTTTTTTTTTTTTTTTTTAGCTGAGCCATCTTGCTACCTATTGGCAGCTCAGCGGCTGCTCAGCTCGGGCTGTGGACTCGAACCGCTGTTGCTCAGAGCTCAAACTCTTGAGCGAGCTCTTAACCAACTGAGCCACTCGACCGGCCCTGTGCTCCTTTTTATAAGACACGTATTTGACCTGCATAAGGTTTTATTGTTCTAGTCATTCTTTTTTTTTTGTTTTAAAGTTGATATATTTTTATTTAAGGAATGTCCCATGTTGTGATTCCTTCCACTCACTGCTTTTGTTCCTGAGTTTGAGTCTTAATCCCTTTTAAAAATCATTTTTGCTGAATCCACTGTTGTCATGTCAGTCAGTCCACAATTTGTTCCTGTCATTCTTAATCTCCTACTCCAGGATATAAGAATAATAAATGCTATTATTCATTAAATAGGTTCTGTTTATTCCCTGAACAAAGTATTATTAAGTGCGACAATGTCAGGCACCTCAAACACGGCTTCATTTCGATCTTGTGACAGTTCTCTGACATAGGCACTGTCGTTGCCATGTTGCAGTTGGGCTCCCTGAAGTTGAGAATCTTGGTCAAGATTACCCAGGTGACGTCGGGGACAGCCAGATGCAACCTCTGGGCAGACTGCATCCTCTACTCGTCCCTCTGGCCCACTAAGTTTTTTTAACTCAGGCACATGCTTATGTTTTATTTATCTCCTAAAGTGCTTAGCATAGACAGTTGCACATGCTGTGTACCCAATAAATACATACTATTGAAGTGAAATGCAAAACCTCTCCATAACTGCCAAGTCATACAGTGACTAGGGTTCTTCCTTCATCTCACACACACACACACACACACACACACACACCCTCTTAAGTGCTTTTTGAGACTTCCTCTTTAAGGGTGTTCTTATTGTTCTCTTAAATCTGACTTGACCTCGATCACAACAGTTATTGGGCCTGCGGGAGTAGGAGCAGCTGTACCCAAATGATGACATCGTATAATCCTGGATCTTACACATTTTTTTAGGGGCATCCCAACCTTAAGGCAAGGCATGAGGCTTATTTTTGAAGAGCATTGAAATGCTCATGCTTGTGTTTTATCTGTGTAACAGCCATAGATGATACAGTAATGAAGACTATCTTCTTGGTAATGGGAACAGAGTCAAATGTTAGTAATGTCAGAAGATGGATACAGTCGGCCCTCTGTAACTGTGGATTTTGCACCCGCAAAATCAACCAGCTGCAGATCAAAAATATATTTTTTTAAAATCTCAAAAAGGGAGTTCCAAAAAGCAACACTTGAATTTGCCATGTGCCAAGCACTGTGCTGAATCCACAAAAATGAAGCTATATGTAGGCAGACCCTGCTGTAGCCTATATGCAAATATAGGTCATATGCAAATACTGTACAATTTTATATAGGGGACTTGAGCATTCAAGGATTTGTGTACCTGCAGAGGTCCTGGAACCAAGCCCTTGGGATACTGAGGGATAACTGTATATGAAAATCACAGTCATCAAATCTTCATTTGATCAGTGTTCTTAACTTCATTCCTCACCAGCCCTATTGTCTATTAAATGAATGTCCATTAAATTAAAGAGTCCATTATATATATTTTAGCTCTGTAATGCCTCTTTTCCTTTTCCTATCTACTTTTTAAGGAAATATTAACTAGAGATCAAAGAGTAGAATGAATAAGAGAATACAAAGATCTGAAAAATCCACACATGAATTAGTCTCTGAGAAATGGTGAGTTAATGCTAAAAAAAAATAAAAATAAAAACCTAAGTTAATAATAAATACTTTGTTGTGACACCAAATCTAAACCTTAAAACACATTTATGAATACTGTCATATTTTACAATAGTCTTTAAAACTCAGTCACCTAGTATCCAGTAGAATAAACAAATTTTTAAAAATCACATTATAAACTGGTGCCATGTCTAGATTTGGATGTTGTCTCTGTAAAGCAAAGTCACGCCTGTAATAGCTCAAGAAAACCTGGAATGCACGACCAAAGTCAGGAGTTGTTCTCTAATTTTTTTTTGTCACCTATAATCTCTGTAATAAACAGAATTTATTTAACCCCTTTATAATTCATGGTCAAAATAGAAAAAAAAACTGGAAAGAAATAATAGCTAGACAACAAACTGAATATCTGGTAACAGAATTACCTGAATGAGGAAAAAAGATTCCGCTTTTATGATCCACCATAAAAGATTCATTTATCAGAGCACAGTTGTTTAATGAAAGCTAGAGAATTCTTAGTATTTCCCTGCTGAGGAGCCACCTCTTTCCCTGGCTTGCGTGAAAATCACTCTCCTGGGCCTTTGTCCCCTCATCAATAAAACGACAGAGTTGGAGAATTCCCTTTCAGCTATTCTCTGGTTCTTTGTCTTATTTTAATACTTTTCACCATCAAACAAACTCATTTGAGTTCAGATTTGTAGAGGCATAAATCTTACCATAGAAACTTGTTTCACTTGTTTATATTCAATTTCATCCCGATATCCTGCTTGTTGAAATCTGTATAGATTTTCTATCTCATCTGACCATTTTTTGGCACGACTTATTGATTTTGGTTTCACGTCAGAACTAGCCATGGCTACAGAGGTCTTATTATGACTTAATTCTGAAAGATGTTAAAACAATTAATAAATGACATAATAGTGGCAATTTGAAAAGCCCCTTTAAGAATGAACAAAATTAGCGTTTAAAAATAGAGAGTTGAAAATCCTATTAAATATATTAAACTTTAAACATTCAATGCCAAGACTGAGAAAGAGTCATGCTCTATTTTGAAAATAAAATAAACCCTGAAAGGTACATAGAGAACTATTCATTTCTTCATCAGATAAAACTGCATCCAGGGTTGTGGAGTGGTGTCCTGAGGCTGGACACTAATGTGGTGTTCCAGCCAATAGTTGGCACATTTCTGAAACCACACTCATTGTTAACTGCTCAGTAGATTGGCAACATATCCTACCACGACTCCATTTGATTATATTCAAAACTGCATCTCATTTTTATTTTCCTAAAAAGAAAATGTAAGATTAATCTTCTCACTCTCTTCTTTTTCTTCTTGCTGCGAAGCAATGGTTTCCTCTTTTTCCATTTCTTACCTGCTTGTAGACGTCCTGAAGTCCATTTATTCATGTCCCTGTGTCCCAGATCTTGTGGTATGAGGGGACAGACTAACACACAGCCTGTGGACACTGTACGACTGTCATGATACTGAGATCATTGATTTTAAAACAACGTGGGAGGTCATTATTAATCTTTGAAAATAAAATATTCTACTCTAGTTCATGTAACTGTCTATTCACCAAACTCCTGTAGCCAGTTTTTCAAAGACATCACTTCGCGCTTATTTTCTCAGCTGTTTCTTATTACCAACATATATTAGTCATTTAACTGAAATACTGTGCCCAGAATTTTCACTATGATTCCTCGAACCCATTTTATTAAAATATGTTTCTATTGGTTGAAATACATTAAAATTAGATCTCATAAAGTAGATACTGTAAGTGAATTCATATTAAATTTTTTTTCAATTATAATGGCAAATGCTCATTGAAACCGTCAAGAAATACATTACAGTACCAAAAAAAAGGCAAAATAATCATGACATCAATTAGCAATATTCATGCTTAATAATATCAGGTGAATATCATCTCAAACATGATGAGTTAGAAGGACAGACTTTAAAAGTTTTATAAAAAGGAGTATTACAATAAGTGCTTTTACAAGTGTAATAATTTAGCTTTACTGGGGTTTAACAGCAGGGGCGAATAGGAAATGGAAATATAGTTGACAGAATTGCTAAGTTTCAGATAGTTTCTTTGATATAAAAAATGTAGCCTAAAATTCTCTCAATGGTTTAAAAAAAAAAAAGGATAATGAAGACTGTTAGGGGTCTAGGAATGCTTTCTTTGAGCTCCATTTATGAATAACACACACATACTGATTGACTCTTTTCTATCAAAAATAAGGGTATTGGTCTTATGCTTCCTCCTATCTCCTCTAGATGTTTATTACATTGCTTATTTAACATTCTAAAGGAGTTTGGACTTAGCTCCAGATTTAAATGAATTGAAATGAAGTCATCTGAGTCACACAGCTCTTACTCTGATCAAGGTAGCAACCACCTAAGTGGATATATCTTTAATATTGTTTGCTTTTTTTGCAATGTGCATACCGACATGTATATCAACTAGACCAGTGGTTCTCAACCTTCCTAATGCCGCGACCCCTTAATACAGTTCCTCATGTTGTGGTGACCCCCCAAACATAAAATTATTTTCGTTGCTACTCTATAACTGTAATTTTGCTACTGTTATGAACCATAATGTAAATATCTTTTTGTTTTCCGATGGTCTTAGGCGACCCCTGTGAAAGGGTCATTCAACCCCGAAAAGGGTCGCGACCCACAGGTTGAGAACCGCTGGACTAGACCAAAGAAAATTAAGGCATTGGTAATATTTGAGATTTTAAAAACTTGTGATCTTTATGTATTAATTTAGGTTCAGGCTCATATTGCATTTTAAGGCAATGCATTATTCTGTTATTGTATAAATTTATGTAAAATTGGGAATACCTGACAAGATAATAGATAAACCATATTTCAGTGAAACCCTTATCCTTCAATTCCATTCATGTTAATGGGAGGTGCACTGCTTCATGCTGCACAGAATAAGAGACATGACCAATAAGTGAGTCAGACACATGTGGTACAGCCTGATAATCCATTAACACATATGGTTATATAAACATATATTCCATAAAAATGACACTAAGAAACAATAAAGGATGAAAATGTATGTTAAATACATTTTCAAGACTAGCCATGCTTTTATATGGCTATTAAATTTATTAAATATACTTAATATGAATTTAATGGCTGTATTACTTATATTGCTTTTACAGATGAAGCACATTTTCTAAAAGTAGTGGTACAATCTGAATTTTTGTTCTACCCAAGCCGTTTTTGCTTTAAGCTTGGCTTTTTGATGCATAATAAAATACTTGACTCATATTCATTCAAAAAGCACTTTCCTGAATGTCATTCTATGTAACCTTTTGTCATATTCAAACAAAACAATCATGTCAACTATACATACAAAAATGGTACATTTTTATGTAATGGGTGAAGGGGTGTCAAAAAGTAAGAAGAAAAAAATATATATGGTGCATTACTGAGCCACACTGGAAAAAAAATAGTTACCACATTTTTTATTTAATAGTCACCTCTTATCCACGGGGGAAATTTCCCAGACCCCCAGTGGATGTTTGAAACCCAGATAGTACCAAGCTCTATATATCGGGAGTGCCAAAAAAATGTGCACATTTTAAGAGATGTTATCTATGTATTAGTTTTCAAAGTTGAATTGCATTATGATAGCAATGTATAATATGACATTTGTTCAAAGGGTGGCGTTAATCAAATGAATGCTGGCATCATTCATTGTATTACAATTTTAATACAGCTTTTTTCTTTCTGAAAATGTGTATACATATTTTTGGCATCCTCTGTATACTATGTTTTTTCCTATACATACATACCTATGATAAAGTTTAATTTATAAATTAGGCACAGTAAGAAATTAACAACAATAGCTAATAATAAAATAGAACAATTATGACAATATACTGTAATCAAATTTTTGTGAATATGGCTTCTCTCTCCATCTCTCTCTCTCTCTCTGAAAACCCATCTGATAACTGAGATGGCTACTATGACTAAGGAGCAGGGAACAGACACAGTGTGGAGATGCTGGACAAAAGGATGGTTCATGTCCTCAGCCAGACACAACAGGAGGAAGCGAGACTTCATCATGCTACTTAGATTGGCACACAATTTAAAACTTATGATTTGTTTACTGTGGTACTTTCTATTTAATATTCTTAGACCATGCTGACTGTGGATAACTGAAACCATGGAAAATGAAACCGTGATTAAGGGGGGTGGGGACTAACTGTAATTATTTTGTGTATCTGTGTGCTATCAGTTTAGGTACTCTGAAAAGCAGATGCCGAAATAGAGTATGAGAAATTTATTGGGGGTAAAGTTTATGAAACTTAAGGAAAGAAGGAGCAGGAGTGCAGGAAAAGCTTTTCCCACCATGATACACGCCTAAAAGTTCTGTGAATGGAAAAGGAGAAGGAAGTCGAATTGGGTGGGAAGAGCTTCAGACAGCAGGGCAGTGCTAAGAAAGTCCTGGTCAGGCCAATGCAGAAATTCAGCACAAAGAATACTTGTGGGGGTCTCTTGCTTTAGGCAAAAGTGGTCAGACCTACTATGGCCGCCATTTTCAGTCACTGACTGGAAGCTACTGGGGCAGTGCTTGACCTCAGCTCAAATGCTGTACTAAGTCCCAGAGGCAGGGTGGATAGTCAGATAACTGCAGGGGGCAGTTAACTCTCTTGTAGGGAGAGCTGAGAAGTATGCCTTCCTGGCTGCTCCAGTCTGACTTGCTAAAATGCTGAATTCTTCCAAGCCACAGATCAAGTCATTGACAATTTGTATTTCTGGCATTTAAATATTCTAGTGCCTGAAACTCAGTAAGGGCTCAACAAATGCTTGATGAAATGACATTTTTAAACGCAGTATGGTGTGTTAGGCATTATAGATGCAAAATGTGTATGGACATATTACTTAATTGACCATATAAATCATATAAAAATATAAAAGACACTGTTAGGTGACAAAACCTGGGTGACACAGGAAAAGGAACAAACAATTGCTACAGGGCCATAAATCTTACACAGAATGGACCAAAGCAGCTTTAAAGGCCTGGCAAATTCCACATTCCCAAAGACATCTGGGTAACAGAATTTTGTTATAGCTCCACGGAAATTAACTGACAAATGCATTTGGCCCAGCTAGGATCACAAGGAGTGTCTAATAAATATAACGATAGATAAGATGTTCTGGTTTAAGAGTACTGAACGTGCAGTGCACTGTGCCATTGCAATCACATTGTCACTGTGCAACTCAGTTTTATGAGTTCTGGCATGATTCTTGCTTACTCAAACTTAACAGGTGCGACTGTGTGCCCACTGGTAAATCTCATTTGAGGCTCCTATAAGCTCACACATCCATCTATCATTAAATCATGTTGCAATTTCTCTGTTGTGTCCTCTGATCTGACTTGCCTATGTTTATTCAGATAGTTGACTCTCGTTTGATTTGCCCAGCTGGTATCTGTGTATGGCTCCTTTCAGCATTCTAAGCCTATTATTAACACTTTCAATATGGTGGTTATGCAGATTGGTGGCAACAGGGGGACTGATGCAAAAACTCTGAGACCTATCATGGCTACATCTCTGAGGGGAAAGTTCTGCGATAATGGAGGGCAGGGGAGTAAAACTGCGATGCCTATTGCTTGCTGACCCTCTATGATTTGAGATGACAAAAATCTTAATGCGAGTGATGTAAGGTAAAATTTCTCAGCGAAGAATGAGTAATGTGCCACTAACTCTCAAAGGTTTGGCCATCTGGGTAAAAACTAATAATAAAAACTTCCAGTGGCTGAGTAATTCCTAGACCCAGTGACAAGGGACTCATTAAAACTTGGGGAGTGATAGGAAATGGAGGTAAAGAACAAAGGTTACAAT